CGTAGTCTTCCAATTTATTTTTACTCATTTTTGTTAGAATCAGGACATCATCCACGTATCTAAAGAACTTCGATGATGCATTCACTTCATGCAGATTTTTCTTAATGTAATCATCCATGTACATATCACTAAGTAAAGGTGAAAGACAATTACCCATGGCAAGTCCTGACTTCTGCTTGAAAAATTTTTTGTTGAATTCAAAATAACTGTTCGATAAGGCAATTTGTATCATTTTCTTAACATCTGATTTCGTAAAAGAAGAGTTCTTGAAAGCTGTCGACTGGTCTAATCTGTTTATAACAATATCAATAGCTCGTGTTACTGGAATATTATTGAACATGTCAGACACATCTAAGCTAGCTAATCTTTCGTCAGATTCCAATTTCACTTTTGTTATTCTTTCAACAAAAATTTTGGTGTTTAAAATAGTATTATCGATACTTGATCTTAATTCTTTGATGAGTGAGAAAGCGAGCTGAGAGAGTGGTGAGGTGATGGTATTTCGACTACATGTTATTATTCTCATCGCTTGATCAGGTTTGTGTAACTTGGGTTGACCTCTAACATAGGGTAATCATCAATAGACGTAAGGTTTTTTTTTGTTGACCTTGACTGATTTTGTTATTTTCAAATAATTTCTGACTGAAAGATGAAATCAACTTCTTTATTTTCTCAGTTGGATTACTAACTTCGGTGTAGATTCTCGTAAGCTTTTCTTCAATTTTAGATATATAATCGTCCTTGTTTAATATCACTATCTTGCCACCTTTATCTGCAGAAATTATCACTATGTCCTCGACGTTTTTAAGTTCTTTCAACATTTTTTGTTCAAACGGTGTTAAATTATTCCTTTTTGGTCTTTTCCATTTTTGAACAAATTCAGAGATTTCAGAAATTGCTAGCTGTTTCACAATTTTTGGAGTTGAGTAGAGGGATGTTTCAACATTACTAGTACTATCAACTAGGTCAATCGTACTAAGTGGTATCTGATTTGTCCTCTGGATCGTATAATATGATCGTACAAGATCATATACGATCATTCAACTTCGTATGAAATCGTACAGTACGGGCCAGGCGACAAATCAGGTACCACGATTCGTATGTACATCGTACATAATCGTATATGATTTCGTACGATTCGTCTACGATCTTGTACGATAAGATAGTACGATTCAATCACCTGGGTAGTTTTTAACTCTGTCAGGTTTACAATTCCCCAGGTGATTGAATCGTACTATCCGCGATCGTACACGAATCGTACGAAATCATATACGGTTATGTACGATTTACATACGAATCGTGGTATCTTATTTGTCACCTGATTCGTACTATACGATTTCATACGAAGTTGTATGATCGTATTATACGATTCAGAGGACAAATCAGATACCACATTCATATATTATATTATTTTCATGCGATTTTGTCTGATTCAGATGCGATCGTATACGATTTGTCTGACCTGGGTCTGTACTTTTGCAAATAGAGTTAACCACAACTTCTTAACTGTAACTGGTGCATACCTAATTATCATAGTCTTGTCTTTCTTCAGTTATGACTAAATACATGTATGTCGACAACAACCGGAGAGAAAACAAAAATAATTCGACATGCATACAGTCGACGTGACAAACATCTTTTGTCTTTAAATTCTAATCTGAGATATATAGAACGATAGATCATATATATGGCCCATCAATTAAAAGCATTTTTGTTTTTAAATTGCAAAAGAGTTTCTTAAGGAAATTAAAAAAGAACGGAGTCGTCGGCTATATTCGTTATATTGAAACATTTGACTGATTTCGTGCTCAGCGTAAGTGACAAATAAAAACACAAAACGATTTTTACCATATGAACATCTATGATGTCTTATAATGTTCGTTTTACAAAGATTTTTCTAGTGAATTCTAATAAAAAGAATCAAAATAAGTAGACAGATGTATGAATTCTTCTTCATGTAAAGAAGTATTTGAGCTATGAATATTGCATTGATGAGTGATAGCGAATAAGCCACCATTTTAATTAATTATATCTCTTCCATGGCATTCCGAGAATTTTAAAAGAAAACTATCTTTGATCGAAACTTTATTTACTAAAAATAGTTTCAGAAATAGATATAACCATAACAGCCTCCTTTTGCATGATTATGATTATAACAGACTATCGGAGAAACATTCCTCCGTTTCAGTGCAGTTTTTCCTCTAATAATAACGACTAAGATGTCGCCGAAACGAGATCAAGTTCAACCGGTGTCTCTCACCCTCTCATACTAAATATATCAGTGAATAAAATATGCGGTGAAACTTATAATTAAGAATAAATATAATTTCTGTTATGCAAGGTCTTTCGATAAAAGTCAATTGCAATAATCTTGCAAAGGCCCGATCTATCTAAAGCTGATTTTGTAAGTATTTTTGTAAGTACGACGCTTGAAGAACTGCAGGGGACAAACCATTAACTGTATAGTGACAAATAGAGCGTTACGGTGACTGTTTTGTCTCTCAACTCGTTTGCTAATCCTTATTTGAAATAACTGCTGTGACGAACAGTTAAGTTTTAAGCAATATATCGATGATGTTTGTTAACAATGTAATCAACTATTTGTTATCGTTTAATATTTGAAACTCGTTTTCATTGGTTTTTATCTAGAAATGTTTTTGTCAACTCCTGTGTGCTATCCTCCAGATAAGCAACAAAGTGAACAATCAAAAATACTCGATAAGAGTAGAGCAAACACTAGTACCACTCAATATCTTGAAAAAATTCTTCAACATTCAAATTTAGTAAAAGAAGTTGAACTAATCGATATTCATAAACACTGTCTGGTACTATCGAGTGATCAATATCATCTTCTTGTTTATAATGAGACAAAATTTATGTTATTTAACAATGATTTACAACAATTAAAAGAATGTCACTGGAATAAAGTAAAAATTGGAGTTGACATAGAAGATATTCAGTGGTCGATAAGCGGATTAGAACTATTGATATTAACTGGTGAAAGTTTGTTCAAATTTAATCCGTTAACATTCGAACTAAATCAAATTGAACTCAATCACTCGAGTAAGTTTGAAGCTACTATACACTAATGTCCTGCATCGGATTTTTTCGGGTTTGACTAAACACTTTTGAACAGTCAGCTGCCACAGTTCTGAACAGTTCCAGTAACTGGAACTGGTGCATACCTACTAAACACTGAAATTAAAATTCGTTTCTAAAGAGCAAATTTGTCTAAGGTATACGTTCGATAGAGAAATGTTCCCACTTTCGAATGTGGTATTTTATATGAAAAAAAGTTTCACTGACGTGCTGCTAGCAATCCAGAACTGCAAAGAACCCTAGAAAACCCAATTTTTCGGGTTTTTCACGTGTTTGGATTGCTAGCAGCACGTCAGTGAAACTTTTTTTCACATAAAATACCATATTCGAAAGTGGGAACATTTCTCTGCCGAACGTATACCTTAGACAAATTTGCTCTTTAGAAACGAATTTTAAAGTTCGCTGTTTAGTCAAATCCGAAAAAAACCCGATGTAGGACACTACTATACACAAGACAGTAGTCGAGTATTCTATTGCTGTTCAAGACAAGTGTTTTTACATTATCATCTTTGACATTGTTACTATCTATTGTTTGAATTAGGAGTTCTTTTTTATAAACTTTTTAGTATTTTAGGTGGAAAACATCGTTTTGATAGTCATTTTTGTTATATGACAATTGATAGTGATGATAATGTGCTGTTGAATCGTGATTATGGTGATTCTTTTGAAAAATATTTATTAAAAACTGGTCAATTAATTGAACAATGGACGAAATCAGATATTTATGGTGATCATAGTAAAGTGTTTATCAATCAAATTTACTTGAATATTCAAAATAATCTTTTATCAATGAATGTCGATGTTTGTGGGCAAGGCGTTATTGATTTGGTTGATGCTAAAACTATGAAATTACGAAAACGTATGGATTTATCCGATATACATTTGGCATTTTTATCAAATGTTGGTCACTATTTGTTTGTTGCAAGTGGCTTAAACTGGTCACGAAATATTAAAATTGCTAATTATTATTTGCTTAGTACAAGCAGAGGTGAAATGAAAAAATTGAAACGTGATATTTTAAATAATCGTTTTATTTGTGATTTGTCGTTAATGAATTCGAATTCATGCATTATTTTAATAGAAAATCATGTTAAAAAACATCAACAACTACAATTATACAAGAATACGACTAAACTTAGTTAAAAAAATGTTTTATTTTTCGAAATTAATCTTCCTGTTTTTCAAATTGTCATTTTTAGTTAACGTTTGAGATTGCTTTTAAACAAATTTAGTTTTAAATAGATATGGGATCATGAAGTCATACTTTTGATCACGTTATTGTAAAGAAATATTTTTATGAACTACAGTGGTCAATGATGCGGACAATTACTAAAAGTCGAGAATGGAGTTCGTTCAGATGTGATGAAGCGAAAAACTTCTGTGCTTTGGATCAAAACCCCTAAACAAAAAAATTATTTTCCAAGTTAATTAATTTACCGCATAACTATGATCAGTATAATGAGTTCCTCCTTTTGCTCAACTATCCAATTCTCTCAAAGGACGTAGATGGGTAGGCTAAGTTTTCGATTCCCAATAGTTTTATCTTTTTTGACAGCAAACGTGTCAGAGAGTCACTAGGAGCACTACTTACCATTTATTTTTTCTGAACTTTTGATATGAGATTTTTGACGCCTGTAGTACTCCTGCAGCGTCGAAAACCCCTTTTCTCCCCTAAATATTTTAACTACATGGGTTAGATACAGCCTTTCGTGCTGATTCTGAATAATACCTTTGAAGTTGAAAAAAGCTGTATTTTTGATGATGAAAATCCGATCTTATGCAGTCGGGATGACCACGACGCATCAGGTTGCCAATACTGAACTAACCTTGAATAATTGTCTAAAAAACAATCCAAGTTTGAATATTAGATTTTTAATTCATGAACACAGCCATAAGAAAGCGAAGATCAGAGGCGAAACACAGTCTAATTATAGACAAGCAATCTTTTATCCTCCCTACATTTGCATGCATTCTCGAAATATGAAAATCGTATACTCACTATAGATCATATCTTCCGACGCTTATTCTTACAAAACATTCATCTTCAAATGTAAACAAATTTTCGAGAATAAAACACAACCAGAACTGGTTTGAAAAAACCGGAATCGGGCTACCGAAAACATTTTGTGGAATCCGACGAGATAATGATGGTATTGCATATATAAGGACGACTGTAACTTTATACAAGACTTCAACCACCGTACCGTCCTAAGACCCCCCCTTTTTTTTTGATATTTCACTTTTCAAATTAATGGTCGGAACTGAGCCATGAATTGATAATTCGAGGAAGTATCGAATTTAAGTTCCTGAGAAGTGCAGCAAGCGCCACCGTCATTTTGTAGTAGTCAGACAGTCCTGAAACGAAATTTTCACATTTCTCTAAATTTCTGATTTTGAATTTAGTTTAAGCAACATATAATTTTATCGTATATTAAAATTCTCAGTCTATTAACTTTAACGATACACGTTAGTTAAGCTACTTCTTGCTAGTAACACGTGCTAAACGTTGCAAATCATGCGTGCGTCATAATGATTCTAAACGTCAAAGAGTTGCCAGTCACAAGAACCAGATGACGAATTTGAGAAAGATTTTACGAACGGCATTAGAACGAACTCTCAACATTTCAACAGATCCGGACTCCACGAAAAAACAACTATTAGATCTTTACAAGCGCAATCTGCACGAGCTACCATCAGTACCGACAGCTATGTCATGGTGTACACCGCAACTATCTCAAATCACAGCACCAGCAACAACGTTACCATCGTCGTTTGCTCCTGTAGACTTGACACAAGCGAATGATCTATTACAACAATTGTCCACTATCAATTTCAATCAAACCACTACCACAGTCTCAACCAGTAGCAACAGTGGCAAAGACAACAACATCGGTAGCAGGTCGTACAGATGATTCAACGACATCAGCAGCAGCAAAAGAATTTATTGATACTGTCCGTAAGTTTTCGAGTGATACCATTCCTGATCCATCACCTTTGCTATATGGTCAACCCACCACTTTTGCTGCTACCGTGAGTGATATTGTTTTTGTTAGTTCTAAACCAAGGAGTCTTATCTTGTCTGGTCACTATGTGAACTTACGAGGGAACCTCCCGAGGTGATAAATCGCTTTTTGATCAACATCTAGTGGGTTATAGGTTAATGACCATGCTGATTCCGAATAGGATCATGGGACTTCCCCATAGCTCTTCGAAGATCCAGTCTTTTGGAAAACCAGTTTTTCAGAAACCCCAAAAAATAACCCAAGCCCTTCTTAATAATGCAGGATTGTAGCTTGCAAGTTTCTGATTAAAATGAAACATCCCCCAGCTCTACACGACCTTTCTTTGCAAAGTTATAGAACTTATAAGAAGAGCCCTAAATTAATTTTTTCCTTCTTATTTCTGTAGCTTTGAGCTGGCAATGAACAACATAGGGCTCTTCTTATAAGTTCTATAACTT